TAAATTCAAAACATCTCACAACAAGATGTCATCTGTCTTTCCCCTTTTAGGTCCTGAGGAATTCAAATGGGCTTCCTAGTAAAGTGCTCATTTCAGTAAAACATGACTGGATAACTATATTAGTCAGATTTCCCATCTCTGGGACAAAATACCTGACAGTCAAAACTTAAAGGAGGAGATGTTTATTTTAGTTTACCATTTCAGTGAGTTCAGTTCATGGTTGGCTGGCTTCAAGGCAGAAATGAGATGGTGGAAGGGCCTGGCAGAGGACAGTTGCTCATATCATGGTGGCCAGGAAACAGAGAGAAAAGAGGAGTCAGGGACAAGAATACACACTTCCAAGTCACATCCACAAACTCTAACCAGGACCTACCTTTTAATAGCACATGAACTACTGACTTCATCAAAATATCAAGCCACTGATGAGTATAACACCCCCCCTGGTATAATTACCTTCCAAACACATGACATTGGGGGAGCATTTTAGATCTAGACTATGACAATAAACAATCTAGATGTTCCATAGATTTTTACCCATAACCAGTAAAAAGTACATGATGGTGTCCCCTTCTGATCTATCTTTAGAAAGAATAAAACCAAGAAAATTTGGTTTAATTTTTATCAGAAGGGTTTAAACTGAATATAAAAAAGAAGTGCTTATATAAAAGACTTATTAGAAACTGAAATAGCTCACTGAAGATTGCCAGTCTTTCTTTCCCTGAAGTTGTTTAACCAGAGAATAATCATCCACCCACTTCTCTGCCTGGAAACAGGAGTCATTCTGCAGAAATGATGAATAAGCAACCATGTTACCATCCCCACATACAAGACCACATAACCACACACTGAAGGCTGTCACTGGAGGCCACTAGCAGAGACTTCTCATTTTGGGAAACAATAGGGGATAAAAGAATGAAACAAAGAAGACAGTCTTTTCTCTCCATAAAAGTCTCGTGATATTCTTCACTCATATTTACTTTAGAGTGGAGAGTACTGAATTCACTAAGCAAGACTAGGTTTATTTGTATTCACCAACCAGTCAGATAGATGTTAAACAACCTACAAAGCATAATGGAGACAACAAAAAAATATGATATCATTCCTCTCTATTTTTAGGTACACATTTGTAAAATTATAAAAAATCATGAATAGCAGAAATGATATACAGTAAAGATTGGAACTAAGTAAGCTGAAGTGCTTTATAGACAAGGGAAGAGGAAGACAGAAATACTCAGAGCCACACTGTTTAGGGACTGCTTCAGGAGTGCCATGAACAATGTGATTGTTCAGATCTTTCCTCTTTTACCCTTGTTTATGGCTTGAGGAAAACAATTTTCCACACAGGAAAAAAGACGCCTAAATTTTTTGCCTCTTTGAATCCAAAATGTGATCAACTTTTTCCCCCATGTTTTTTCTCCCTATCTCCCCTTCTTTTTTACTCTTCAGAATGATTATATTTGAGAGCTTTTTTAAATTTCTTGGGCTGCTTGTAAGTACCTCAGCTTAAACAGAATTCCAGTGGATCTGACATTCAAATGAATTGAGGTTATGCTCCAATCTCAACCAATCAGAATGAACTTTTCCCACTGACTCTGTCCAATCAGAATGGAAATAACCCAGGTACAGATCAGGAAGTGAATGTTCCTCTATCTTCTGCCCCTCTTTGTGTTAACCACATCTGTGATGATGCCAGACCCTGCTTTTCTCTGACTCCTGGGTCTGCACTGCACTTATTTAAATCAAGGTTGATGTAAGAAGAGAGGCACGCACATCACATCCATCAGTAAATTGGGTGTGAAATACTGTTATCCAGTGCCTTCTCCCACTCCACTTCTGTCATGGCAGGCTTTAGGAAAGTTCAGATTTCTTTAGCAAGACTGTACATTTTATACCTCACAAACAAAATGAAATTTGATTTCATAAAACCTATCTCACAGGACATAATCAGGATCTTTGGCCATTTGGTATATTCAGATTTCCTCTTGTAAAGAAGACCTCATCTATCCTCTTTAAGGACCCCCGTCTCAGTGCCAGGCCTGGGAATGAACTGTTCAGGTGTAGCATTTCCATGGCCCCAGACAGGCTGCATTAACAAGGACTGCAGTGGCCTGTTCTGCTCTGCATTGAAGTTCTCTCCCAGTATGGACTCTGCTGCTGGCTGGAAGTAGAGCCCCAGAAAGCAACTTGTCTCAAAAATGACCAGTGGGGATACACTGAGATAGTCCTTGTGACTTGGGTACCTTAAAGTAGTGACCAGTACACCATTGGCCACAGCCTCTATCTCCATGTCTCTTTCTGTAGAATAAGTTTAAAGTGGAAGGCCAGCAGTAACCATTAATTACCTCTTCTCTTTATCTGTGTACTTATAGAAAGATAGATGCAGTGTGTGCCTTCCACATCACAGACATAAACAGCCTACAACTGATTTCAGTTCTGATCTGGGTCAAGTGAAATATCTTCCTATATTGTTCATTTAAAAACTTTGCTGTACTTTGCAAACTTAGTCAACCACAGCTAATTCCTTCCTAAAAGGACTGCTTCTCTAAAGTAAGCACTGATATGCATTCACTATATACTGTATATAATTTGCCTCTCTTCAGTTGAATGGAATACATTAATTTGTGCAGTCTAATCTCTATGTGGCTTTTAATATCTGACCTTGTTGCTTATTATTTGTATGAAATTTTGGCCATATATTTTCTTTTTTTTTTTTTGGTACCAGGGATTGAACTCGGGTCCTTGCACTTGCGCAGCAGGCGGCGAAACCACTGAGCCAAATCCCCAGCCCAATGGCCATATATTTTCTGTTTGGTATTGAAGCTAAGGACTGAGACTTATTATGTGGCTGGAAGAAAGTGTTTGATAAAAGAATAAATTATGCCTTTAAAGTGCATTGTAATAAATAAATTCAAAACAATATCCTAAAAGGTCAAAGCAATCTTTATTTTTAAGGCTTAATATAATTACCAATTAAACTTCAAGAACACTTAGCTAACATAAACAGCTTTTTTAAAAAGTAGGTATGCAAAATTTCCATTATTTGTTATAATATTTGAATTTGAGTAAATTAAAGGGTACATTTTTAACATTAGATACCTAGAAACAAAATACTATTGTGACTATTACAAAATGTTTATCATAATTTTTGCTTAAAATGCACTCATGATTAATTTTAAATGTGTCCAATTATTGCTTTTGTTTTTTTCTTTGTTTGAACATTTTATTTGCAAACTTCAGGATATTTTATTTCTTGTATCTTACTAGAAGTTTTTGCTAAGAGTCACAAAGAATTTTTCAAAAACACTTGGTGGAAAATATGTTTGTATCTCATCTTCAAATGAAAAAGTAAATTGGCTATTTTTCCAAAGATACTGGGAGTAACGGTTCTAGAAAGAGTAAAATTTTTCTTTCCAGTACTCAGTTTAAGTGCTTGGATAGGTTGATTTCAAAATAAATTATTTTCTATTATCATGATCATTCATGTTTAAAAACATGATTTTTCAGGGTAGAGGTGGTCTAAAAATTCTATTTTGTGTCACCCAGTTTCATCACCATGTCTCAGCACCCTAAATATTTCCTAACAGCAATAAATGTTCAGGATTATATGAAGAAGCAGTAACTTGTAAATTTTTCTTTATGTTTAGGGGAGCCTCATTTTTGTTCAGCAATCCATCCTTTCCATATTCTAGATCTGCTACTAGCCTGAGAAAGAAGACAAAGCAGATTTTACGAGGGAAGATGCTCTTTATAAACCTTATGTTATACATTACTGGACTCTAAGCAAGACTGTGATCTTTTGCCTATAAAGGCACAAATATAAAGACACGAGCCAAACTCATGTTGACTCTGGAACTCTTTCTCACCACCCTCCAAATTTCACCCATACATTTTGGCTGAGGTTATAAAGTCATTAAGCAGGAAAAGTTGAGATTCATCTGTGACATGGTTTTCTTCAAATTTGTATAAATTATTTTAGCAATAGAATAAGAGTCTATATAAAAATCCACAGTATAATGAAGAAACAAGTTTTATGCTAATTATTAGTTTTAATTTTAAAATAATTAACTCTTAGTTCTTATTTTTTCCCCATTTCCCTGCCCTCCCTTCATCCCCCCTATTCTTCCCTATTTACAGAGACTTTGTTTCCATTTTTTCCTTTTCTCATATTTTTTCTTTTCCCTTCTTTCCTTTCATCATGTAAAGGTACAAGATTCCAATGATGAATGTAACTGCATTTTATACCTAAAATGTACCAATAAATTTAATGAAAGAAAAAAAAAGAATTAACTCATAATAACCCATAGAATATATTACCTATAGATAGAATTTCTCTGATAAGCTGACTTAAGTATTTATTCATTAAGTTAAAATATTTAATGAAACAATGAGGCTAAATTAGCACAGAACCATGTGAGACAATTAGTGTATGAACTAAAAACCAAGCAGTAGAAAATTAAAGGATTGGTGGTATGGATTGGTTGTAAAGGAATTTCTTAGAAGTGGGAACTGAGAGGCCCTGGTAAGAAAGGAGAATATGGGACAAAGAAGAATATAACATGAATCTCACAGTTTTAAGTCTATGGGACTATCATTGCCAAAAGATAAAGCAGGTTTTGTCAGGAAAATCTTTGTAAGTGGTTTAGACATGATTGAATTTGACATTACAAAATGTAAGGAAAACTCTAGTAGGCAGAATTACATGCTGACTATGACATCCTATATTTACCACATGTAAAGAACTTGGCATATGATTTCTTGATAGAATTGAACTCTAAGGACATCAGGGCCTGGAGTGTGCCTACCTCAGACCCTTGGGGGGAAAGCAGACTCCACAAGGGCTGCCTCCTCCCTCCCACTGGTGTTCTGAACACTAAAGACTATTATGCTCCTTATACTCAGCTCTGCCTCTCTTCAATATAGCAGGCCACAGGGCTCAATGACATTCCTGGCAATTTGAAAATTCCCGATGACTCACATCAGGCCATTAGAAGTCATCACACAGCCTTCTGCAACCTCTTGTCCCTTCTACCTTCCAGGAAGTCTTTGAGGCTTTCTCGGCTTGTTTTATTTTTAGGTTCCAATTACTGGTGTCTACTGATGCCTGAACTTGACCAACCTCCATTTTAAATTGTAGAAGTTGAATTGTAGAAGTTGCCCCGGCCATAGTGGGGAGCTCCCAGGCTGCTGCTCCAGGCTGTGGCTTCTGTCCTCAGCACCAAGAAGGGATGCCTGAAGATGAGGGTACAGGGAAGTTGTTGGGCTTGCATTTTCATGCAGGGATGACACATCCACAGTGGTAGTGCTTACAGTGAGCACTGATTACTCCAGCATGTGGAAGAATGTCTTCCTTCAACCAGACCATGCCTGGGATATGATAAAGCTATCAACTATAGTTTAAAATAGCTGGAAAGCACATTCCAGCTAGTGCAGCCTTACCAAAAAGTGGCAGTGCAGGAAGTCATCAGTGAACTGCAGGATCTGAGGTAGAAGAGGCCTTTCAGAGTAGCTCTGGGAACCCTTGAAAGTCTATAAAGAGGCATCTAGTTTATTTTTTATTTCATCAAAGTGCAATGACTCTAAGCAATGAGTTTTTCTTTATGACATCTAAATAGTCAAAGAAAAATACCATAATGGCTGTGCTCAAGGCTGGAGTGTATTTGCCTAGTTATCTATCTTTTCATGCCACTTAAATTGAGCATTTCCTCTCCTTTGCTGTTACTGGCAAATGAAAATTTCAAATGTCCTCTTGCCCTTCATTTAACATGTTACAGTGTATATCAGGAGCAGCAGAGATAAATAGAAGTGTAGAGAAAGAGTAGATAATAGCAAAGCAGGATAGAGTTACAAAAGAAAATTTTGAGAACTCTTCTTTTATCTGTCCAGTGACAAAGGATGCTTTTTCTTCCTAACTTGGGTTGGTTTGTAAATTTCCATTAAGGTCAAGACTAGGAAACTTTTTACATCAAATATAATTGGAATCTTTTTCTTTCCCTTTCTTTCATTTCCTGAACAAGGCAGTCCTAAAGTCATTGGTAAATGTACCTATGAGGAGGGAGAAAGGGGTCATGATATGCTAGGGTGGGGTGTCAAGGCTTAGATAAAAAGAAGGGTGTTAGGGCTTGTATCTAGATGTCCCCCAAAGCATTATGTGCTCATAGGTGGGGCTTTTGGGAGCTGGCTGGATACAGGGTGTGTGATACTGGGATTAAGGGTGTGTGATACTAAATTAGTCCACTGATTGTTTTTAGTATAGTTCTGGGTGTGGGGGATGGGAAGCCCCATCCTGGGTGTTGCTGGCACCAATCAATTGGCTTATAACCTGGATGAAATATAAGGGGAAAAGAAGGAAAACAGGCTTGCTGCTTCTTTGCTGTCTCCTGCCTCCTCTGCCAGACTGTTTCCCCTCTGCATTGCACCTCTGCCATGTTGGCCTGCCTTGGAGCCAGCTAACTGAAACCTCAACAGATTGTGAGCTGAAGTAAACCTTTCCTTCTTTAACTTGCCAGTGTTCGGTATTTTGTCTCAGTAATGAGTAAATTAACTGAGACAAAAGGTAGCCTGGTATGGTGATTGAGACCAAGTAGGGTGAGGAGGGAAATCAGATAGGGAGGTGTGCAGACCAGCACCAAAGGTCAGAGAATAATCACAGTGAGAAGGATGCCTCCCAAGGGCAAAGAAAACCTGGCCTAAGATGCCAGAGCCCACACAGGGCAAGGCTTGAAGATGTCTGCACGGAAGAGGGTGTGGTGGCAGAGATGGACAGCTATGGATGTAGAGGCAGACTAACTATGGATGTGACATTAAGGATAAAGGAATCAAATTTCTCAACTGTCAGGAAGGCTTTACAAATACAGGAAGGAAGAAAAAGAAAATAACTTTGTGGTATTGGACTACAATTAGAGATATCAAGATAAACTCATAGTCAAATAGCAAATAAATATATGAAAAAATGTTCAACATCATTGGTCATCCAAGAGATGCAAATTAAAACAATGCTGAGATTCCACCTCACTCCAGAAAGAATGGCTACTATCAAGAAATTAAAAAATAACAAATGCTGGCGGGGCTGTGGGGAAAGAGGAACCCTTCTCCACTGTTGGTGGGAGGGTAGACTGGTGCAACCACTGTGGAAATCAGTGTTGAGATTCCTCAAAAAATTAGGACTAGAACTCCCATTTGACCCAGTTATTCCCCAGCTGTGTATCTTCCCCAAAGAATTAAAAGCATCCTACCACAATAATATATGTGCACTCATATTTATAGCAACACAGTTTATAATAGCTAAACCTTGGAAACAACCCAAATGCCCATCAACCAATGAATGGATGAAGAAGATGTGTTTTTTTTATACAATGGAATACTACTCAGCCATAAAGAATGATAAACTAGAGCTATTTCTAACTAAATGGATGCACCTTGAGACTATCCTCTTAAGTGAGATAAATTGGACACACGTGTGTAAATATCACATTGTCTCTCTGGTGTGAGAAACTGAAAGGGTATAAAAGGACCAATATGTATAATAGGTAATGTGAAATAGGAAGAAATGACTCAAAAGGAAAGGGGAACTGGGAAGGAAGAAGAGGGAAGAAGGAAGGGAAAAGAAAAAAATGAGAAAAGAAGGAAAAAAATGGAAACAATGCTTTTGTAAATAAGGAGAGGAGGGGGCAGAAGGGAGGCGAGAGAATTGGAAGGAAAAGAGGAATCAAGATATACCATGTACAGGTACAAATTCCCTATGATAAATGTGATCATTATGTATATTTAAATTGTCCCAATAATATTAATTTTTAAAAAGATAAACTCATAGTTTTCAATATAGCAAATAGGTATGGAAATAAAGATAGATGCATTTGGTGTGATGTGTGTGTACATACATGTGTATTTTCTAGCTCTGTCCACTGAGAGGACCTAGGCATCCTGAAATAGTCTATTTTTCTTTGCTGTAACAAAACACTAGAGGCTGGATAAGTTCATAAAGAAAAGAAGTTATTCAGCTCACACTTTTGAAAGCTAAAAGCCCAAGTTCTACTGGTTCCATTAATTCTTCCTCTGGTGATGACCTAAACAAACAGTGGATGTCATAATAAGGCAGAGTAGAGGGAAATCTCACAAGATCAGAAAGGAAGCTGGAGTGAAGGGAGTGGCCAGACTTCTTGTTTTATAACAACCTTCTCACGAGAGGCTTGTTTCTCATGAGAAATAACCAGTGGTCCCAGGACATCTATCTTAATCCCTTCTAAGGGCATCACACCCCCTCTCCCCCATGACCTCCCACTAGGATCTGCCTCTGAGATTCTCTACCTGCTGATACTGCTACACTGAGGACCAAGCCTTCAACACATGAACCCTTGGGGGACAGATCTCATTCAAACCGTAGCACACCCTACTCACAATGAGCACCCCTGGTGCCCATATCTTGTTTTGCAAATACAATTTTTCACTAAAACAAGATGATTCTAGGCCTTGAGTAGGCAAAGCACAAGTTGAATCTGAAATATCTTCTTGTTCCATAAAGCAAGAAAATGCTCAAGCAATGTTGAGGACATTAAAAGAATGCAGAAATCAGCTTGAATTGGCCACCTCAGAGACAATGTCAGAATCAAAATAATGATTAACATATAAAAATTGAATAAAGTTGTACACTGATGTAAAATATAAATATGTTGAGAGTTTGAAAGAGAACAAAATATATGGTTTTGAAGTATTTTCCCCCAAACAATTATTAATAACAAAAGAGAGGAGTAACTCTGTAGTGGAGAAATCTGGCAGAGACTTCCTTAATCAGATTTCATCATAAAGAAATAGAGAAAATTTAAATCTTGTGTCACTTTATACAATGAAATGAGAAGGACATCGGTTCACTTTGTGGTTTTCTGGCCAAAGATGTAGAACTTGAATCTAATCATGAGAAAATATCAACCCAACATTTAAAAGGATTTTATAAAATACCTACCAGGTAATCTTTCCAATGTCAAGATCATGAAAAGGAAAGAAAGACTGAAGAATTATTACAGTCAGAAAAAAACTAAAGGAACATGGCTAAGAAATGCTGTGCATGATTCTGTGCTGGATCCTTTTGCTATCAAGGGTGTTATGGGGACAAGTGCAGAGAATCAGAGGTTCAATGGCTCTCATGAATCAAGGTTCACTTTCTGAATTTGATGATTGCATTTTAGACACGTCTTTGCAGAGACACTTCACTACCTGTATTTGGTGATAATTTAGCACTAAATAGCAATATTCTCTCGAACAGTTCAGGAAAAAAAGTTCTTCATACCATATATCTAAATTTTATGTAAGTTAGTAAGTTTTCAAAATATCAACAAGAGAGTAGAGGACTAACTTATCCAAAGAGAGTCTTCTTTTGCTTATTTCTACCTTCCACAAAACCTAACATATGTGATTGCACACATACACAAGCAGAGTAATTATTCTATTGACAGGAATCACTTTGATTGCTGTGTCTACTGGGAAGGCATAAAGCTGCTTAACAATCAAATGCAGCCTGCGTTCTTAAAGGAACAGTTGATGTTTATGCACCTGCTTTACTTGCTGAGTTTAGAAAATGAAAGTCCATGTACCCCTTTACTGTTGTTTTTCTTCATGACTTTCACAAATTAGAAGTAGAAGAACTGAGAAAAGGTAACATAGTGAAAATTAGCAACAAAGGGCCAACAATAAAGGACTATTTAGTGCAGTGAAATACTATACTGCAATAGAAAATCATTTGTGGTACAGACACTACCTCCATGGGAAATTGTACCATAGTACAAGTTCCATTAATTTAACTGTTTAAGAGTAATACTTCAGTACAATTCTAAACCTGAATGCTAAAATATTTATAGTACCTGTCTTGGGTGACAGATTTTAGGTGAGTTTTATTTATTTCTTTTTGCTTATCTGAATTTTCTCAGATAAGCATGATTTAAAGTAAAAGAGCATTTGCAGGAAAAATTTGATCAGAAATCAGTTTTTAAAGTACATATATTCAGTGAACACATTTTATTCAAGTATTAAATGCCTAAGGGGGTCATGATCCTAAAGATCATGCCTATAAAAAATGCAAATCATGGTCTTACTGGCTCAGAAATATTCAAAGCCTCATACTTCCCCTAGAAAATGCACAGACTCTTGCTGTTAAATTCATAGTACTGTAATTTATAGAATAACACTGTCTAATAGAAATGAGCTACATAGGTACTACTAAATTTCTTAGTACCCACACTAAAAACACGTGAAGGAACAGGTGAATTTAATTTGTCTTATGTAAGCCAATATATCCAAAGTATTGTTTCAGCATTTACTCAATGTAAAAATTGTTAATGAGAGATACTATACTCTTTTTCACATGTGTCTTAAAACTCCATGTGTGTTTTGTATTTATACTATATTTCAGTTGCTTAAGAGTCATATGAGGTTGTGATCTCTGCTTTTGGAAGCACAGCTGTATGTCCAAATTCTAACATAATCCTTTGTTCCTCAAGTATACCATTATATTTGTTGCCTTTACTCATGCTGTTTTTCTTAAACTGAGATACTTTATTTTACTTATTTAGAAATCGCACATATCGTAAAAAAAAGTAGTCTTGTCTATTCCTCTTGTGGTGGTTAGGATGAAGTGTCAACTTGATTGGCTTTAGGATCCAGCTAGGGCATCAGTAGAGCATATTTCTAGATGTGTCTGGGTAGTAACAGAGGCATGCCCTTGGTGGGTCTCTGTTTAGTGCCTTTCCCCTCTATCTCTGGCACTGTTCTCCAGCTCTACTTCCTGACCAATGGGAACTAAGCATCTTCACCCCACCATGCTCTTCTACCCTGACATTCCTGCCTTGAACCCAGTGACCATGGACTGAATCCCCTGAAATCAAGAGCCAAATCAAACCTCTACTACTTTAAATTGTGAGTGTTGAGTTTGTATCCCAGAGACCAAAAAACTGACTAACATACCTCTAGATGACTTTCATCTGCCAGTCAAGTTTATCACTCTCTCTTTTGAGCCATAGCTTCTACCTTTCTATGATATATGTTTAACTCTGCCTTGAATAGTTTACTTGTTTTTCTGTTCAACCAGATCAGAGGTGTTGGA